TAATGTTTGGAATAATATTTTTTTGAAAAATGTGTTGTTAAAAAAAAGTTTTGAATTTACGTGTAATATTATTTTATTGAAAAATATGTGATCGACAAGATAGAGAAAAATAAATTATAATTTTAATGGGAGCCAAACATGAGCTAAATTTTCCAAAAGTTGGAAGATTTCCTAGTCTCGAGTCCTATTTTCGATTGGGTATCTGTGGGATGCATGTGTTGTAAAGGTTCTGGAAGAGATGATACAAAGTTGGCTTCACATTTTTTTTTTCGTTTTTTGTGAAAGAATTTATTGATTGAAAGAAAGAAAGATGTAAGTGTGACGGGCGAGAGATTCTCATTTATAAAAAAACAAAACTAAAACTTAAAATAGTTGCTTCCCAGAAGTTTGTCTAAGGAAATGTACTGAACGATGAGTAAACCCATCATTAGTTCCATAGAGATAGTTTCCAAATTCTTTAGTAAACCCATCAACATTTCAATATTGTTGGAAGTAAATAAGTGGATGCCATAAATGATTTTGTATAATTTGAGGGTATGCTGGAATGGACCAAAGTGTAAAATTTCATCATCTTTCACACGTGCTTTTCACATAATAATATCTTTGTTCTTTTGGCACGAGACATCATCAACCTTTCACACGTGCACCATCATTTCCCAACTCTTCAACATAATGTGCTGGAATAGGACCAAAGGTTTCCACATGAGTAGTGTACAATCTCATATCTTCTTGTGTCCTTTGTATCTATGATGCACGGAAACCCTCCAGACGCTAGCGTTCCATGCGGAAATGTTTCGGAAATCGAAACTTTTCGGAAACTCAAGAAAATTTCCCTTTTTAATGAAATTCGGATGCTCTATGGAAACTTTGTGTGAAAAGGTTCAGAAAAAAAAACCTTTAATCACGAGCTCTAACCAAAAGTTAACTTAAGCCCCTGTTTGAACCACATTCTAATTTTTATTCTCATTTTTCTACTTATTTTTAATCACACATTCTTTAATAAAATAATATTTTTCATCACATCAATAACTTTTTCTACATTTTAAATACATATTCATCATCACATCACAAAATAAAAATGCATTCTTTCTATTTTAATGTGCATCAAACACACTCAAATTACGGGCTTTGGTTTAAAATTAACTTAAATTACAGCTCCATGGATGCAAAAGTTGGTGGGCTATTTATAGTTCAAGTGCACCTTTACTTCATGGTGTAGCTTTTTAGTTACTTGGACAACCTAGGTTTTTTTCATGTAGTGAACAAAAATGGAGTACGTATTCTTTTGTTCATTCAATGAAGAGAAAGAGGTTAGATTCGAAAATGGGTCGAAATTTTGATTTTTGTCCACAACAATCTGATTCTCTTATCAGGAAGAAGTCCATAATGCTATGTCGAGAAAACTATCAATTTGACATTTTTGAAGATGTTAGAACGCTTGATATTGCAAATCTTTAATCCAATATTATCATGAACTAGAAGTTTGTTGACTCAAAAAGTTTTATACTTTGACATGATGGATTTGAACATCTAAGAGTTATAATGATGCGTCGAATAATAAACAACTCACATAGACATCCTTTAAAGAATCAGAAGATTCTTTTACCTAATAATTATCCATGTGTACCTTATTCGCAAGGCAAGTTAGTGATTAGACCTTCGACTACAAATATCAATATTGAATCTTCAACTTTTTTGGAAAGGATTCATGGAGATATATGTCGGCCAATACACCCACCATGTGGAACATTTCGTTATTTTATGGTATTAATTGATTCTTCTACTAGATGGTCACATGTTTGCCTACTTTTTACTAGAAATGTAGCTTTTGCTAGACTACTTGCTCAAATCATAAAATTACGTGCACAATTTCCAGATTACTCAATCAAGACTATTCGTCTTGACAATGCTAATGAATTTAGTCACAAGTATTCGATGATTATTGC